CACCTCCACAGCCACCACCAAAGTTTCCAGAACTTTCTACCTCGGGCTGGATGAAGCACTCACTGTTTCTTGCTTTCACGGGACTTCCCTAAGTTCACAGTTGTGGTCATTCACAGTGTGGTGTTTCTGAGCGACTGTCTTGTCCACAGGGTCATGGTTGTCAAAGGCTACAAAGGCATAGCCTCTTTTGTTGCCACTGCCTCTGTCAGGCATCATTTCAGTCACTTCAGTTTTTCCATACTGCTGAAGATCTCTTAGGTGATATTCTTTAGTGTCTTCTTTTATGCCACCAACACATACCTTTTTCACATTTAGGTGGGCACCTGGTCTTTGAGAATCTTCTGTTTGGTTCCACAGCTCTTCTGTCTACCGTGTGTGGCCTTGCATTCATGGCTGCATCTACCTCCTCCACAGTGGCATAGTGACAAACCCAAAGCCCCTGGAGTGCTTGGTGTTTGGATGTCGATTGCTCTAAATGGCTTCTCCCGTTCTCCTCGGTTGTTTCAAAGCTCAACCCTCTGATGATGAGCCTCCACAGCTCTGAAGCCTCCTTGAGTGACTCTGAGTTAGGCTGGAGTACAGTGATGTGATCTCGGCTCACTGCAACCTCCAACTCCCAGGCTCGGCTGATCCTCCCACTTTGGCCTCCCACGTAGCCTGGACCACAGGTATGTGCCCCTATACCTGGCTAATTTTTGTATTTTTTTGTAGAGATTGGGTCTCCCCATATTGCCCAGGCTGGTCTTGAACTGGGTTCAAGCGATCTGCCTGCCTTAGCCTCCCAAAGTGCTAGGATTACAGGCATGAGCCACAGTGCTTGGCCTTTGGTATATTTGTTGTAGCAGCCAGCACATAGATTTTTTAATCAGGAGCTTGACACCTTACCCAGCACTTAGGACAGGCACGTAGCAGAACTCAAGGCTCAAGCAGTATGTATTGAGCCAGTTAGTGGGTGGGTGGGTGGGTGGATGGATGGATGGATGTATAGATATGCAGGGGCTGGAAGGTGAAGCCTGTTTGTTTAAGATGGAAGGGGCTTCAGCATGTATGAAAGTTGATGGACACAGTTTCAGAGAGCAAAAACATCGTTCACTAGAGGAAAAAGCCCGATAGCATAAATTCCCTGAGCAGGTAAGGGGTTGGCTGTAAAGCAGGGTGGACAGGTGGATCTCAGCTCTGTGGGAAACAGGAAAGGGCGAGAGGATGGGTGTTCTTTCTGGGTTTGGTGGTTTGGTCACAGTAGGAAGGTAAGGGGAGTTCCCACCGATGCCTTTGGGTTTCTGTGTGTGAAGTAGGGGAGGTTGTCTGCTAAGAATGGAAGCATGGGGCAGGAAGCAGAGGTTTAAAGTGAGTTAGAGTAAAATGCAGGTTGAGGTGAAACAAGAAGCCTTAGCTTGCCAGGCAGCAGCGTCTGCAGGCTGTGGGGGCCGATGAGGACAGGCTCAGGAACCCCTGCCCTGTGCCTGACTCTGCCCAGCAGTGCTCAGCTCAGAGCAGGAGGAGGGAAAGCTGCACTCAGGTTTTTCCCAGGGGAGGCAGCAGAAAGGGAATTTGAATGTCCTGTTGAAGCCACTGAAAAAAGAAGGAGAAGGGCCGATGAGGCGTCCAGAAGGCCAAGCAGTCAGCATGATGGGAGCCAAGGAACTATCCTGCTACCAGGAAGAAACAGGTCAGAGAGCAGCAGCTGGAATTTTGGAGATGGGGTAATTTTGAGTTGAAAGACTGCCCTGGGATGGGTCGCTGAGCAGAGTGGAGGGGAGAGGCCATTGGAGATTAGGGGGTGAGGAGCAGAAAGGCCAGGCTGCCCACGTGGACGTGGACACTGTGCCAATTGCGTCAAGGATCCGGTAGGCCCTGTAATGAAGAGTGCTGAATGAGGAGGAGGAAGAGGATGGCTCTCAAAAGTGTGGCCCCCAGCAGCAGGTGTGGGGAGTAGGGGGCTGGGAGAGCGGCAGTTCTGCCTGGAATGGCCCTGAGGAGCAGAGCTGCTGGAGGAGGGCATGGGGTGGAGCCCACCGCAGAGGGCCTGTGTCTTTTTCTCACTCTCTACACAGCTTTGTCTTTTTATACCCATGGCTATTTTGAAAAAGGAGTGGGAAGAATACTGGGTTCAGTGTCATCATTAGTCAAAAGCTGTGTTTCCTGTGTTGAGGTGGCAGTAGTTCAGGAGCAAGGCTCAGGTCCTTCCAGCTCTGCTGTTCCCTGGTGCTTCGTGGATTAGAGCTGTTCCCCAGCTTCTCCGTCACTTACAGGAGTGGGTTTCAGCTGTGCCGTGGGAGCCACTCATTCAGTCTTCATGTTGTTGCTGCTAGGACTATATTTTCCTCTGTTACGTTTCTCACCTACTTTTTAAAAAAATTAATGAAGTTCTAGTTATAAGCAGTGCTGTGTTTATTGCCACAGGAAGAGAGCACCTGAGGATTGGGAGTGTGGGCCTGCTGAAGGCAGTATATTCTCCTGGCTTCCTCTCCCTGTGGCAACAAATAAGTATAATGATTGATGGAGGTTTTGGGAGAGGAAGAGGTGGCAATTTTGTTTCTTTTGTAAGACTAAATTTAAGAATTAAGGAAGTTGCTGGTTTTGGTGGGATTGCTCCTGATTGGTGGTAAGAGAAAGCAGTACATAAATGCTTATGCTAAGCAGGCTGGGCGTAGTGGCTCATGCCTGTAATCCCAGCACTTTAGGAGGCTGAGGCAGGCAATCACTTGAGGTCAGGAGTTTGACACCAGCCTGGCCAACATAGTGAAACCCCGTCTCTACTAAAAATACAGAAAATTAGCCAGGTGTGGTGGCGTGGACCTGTAGTCCCAGCTACTCAGGAGACTGAGGTAGGAGAATCACTGGAACCTCGGAGGTGGAGGTTGCATTCAGCTGAGATCATGCCTGAGCAACAGAGTGAGGCTGTCTCAAAAAAAAAAAAAAAAAAAATTACTGTGATAAGCAAACCTGGGGGCTCAGAGCTCCATCCTAGTTGGAAGATGCACTGCCAGGTTTCTTTCATGTTGAAGCATTTTGCAGTTTTCTCAATTAGGAGTTAGGAAATCTGTATTTGTTTCTGTATCCTGGACAATTTGCAAGGCTTGATGAATCGTTTGCTTGTGGATAAAATATTCCATTGTTTACAAATGGAAATAATATTTCATGCTGTTTCGCTTTTAAGATCAATACATGGAAGATGGCAGAAAGGAAAAAAATACCTACTATTATACCAATAACCATGCCGTTTCATTGCTGAGAGAAAAACTGGCTATTGAAAACCAACAATTTAACTTGTGATTTAAACTTATAAAGAAAGTACAAATGGATGCTTTCCTCTCATGAAATCCACACATCGTTGTGGATTCACACTAATCTATAGAAATCATTAGTTTATTCTTTCCATTTTTAATTGACAAAAATTGTGTATGTTGTGTACAGCGTGATGTTTGGACATATGTGTACCTTGTGGGATGGCTAAACCAAGCTAATGAACAGGTCTCCATTTTTTATGACAGATCATTTACTAGGTAGTTCAGTCTTTCCTGCGTATTCTGTCCTGTGTAGTTAAAATATACTTAGTGTGTATTCTTCCTGATCAGTAAGAATGAAATTCAGATGTTTTTATAGGCAGGTTCACTTGTTTGAAATCAAGTGTTTAGTTTTGCGGTAAACAGACGACATTGCTGGAAGCAAGAATGTCCGTGAATTAAAACTTAAGAAACATTTAAAGTGTGTTGAAGAGTGATGTACGTTTCATTGCAGAATACTTAGTTGTTTTTACCTACTTTTCATGCTGCGTAAGGATTCACACATTAATCTCTTGAGGTAAGGAATGCGACCAAATGTATTCTGAGCTGTTGCATGTAAAACTTTCTCTTCTTTTTCATTATTCTTGAAAATATAAGCATACAGTTGTATTTTTATGTGGATGTTGTAGTATAAATTAGAAATTTAAATTTTGGAATGTAAATCCTTATTGTGTATTTCTAGTTTCTTGACAGTTACTGTTAATAGATACCTTTTCCGCCTTATTGGGAAAATATATTTTAATAGTATAGTAATCTGAGTGGGTTTAGTTATGGGTTACATACCGTACAAAGTAGATGTAATTTCTACTATTTTCCCCACATAATTTGGCTAGAATTTGCATAGCATATAGGAATGCTGCTCTAGAATAAATGATCTTTTCACAGTATGTTTCTACAGTGGGTGAGGAGGGGCCCAAAGCTTTTATGGGTTGGATTGAAAGAACTTAGAATGGGACCATCTGGTGAGTGCTGTGATGGTCTCTGCTGGGACTGCTCCGGCTCCCTTCTGTAGGTGGCTGGCATCCTCTACCCTGGATGGAGTGTAGTCACCCCACTCCACCCCACCCTGCAGCCAATGACCGGCTAAAGGGAGGTGGCATCTAGAAGGCCAGCCTCTGCCTCAGGGCAGGACTTTCACTGCAGGCCGGAGCTGCCCTCTAGGTGAAACCATGTTCTTGATTGGTTTCTTCCGCTTCTCTATCTGGCTTCCCTCACTTCTTAAAGGTTTCTGCTGAGAGCAGTTCCTGAGTCTCCCCTCAGACTCTGCATCTCGGCACCTAAGGAATTTGTCCTGTGGAGGCTGAAGGAACTGATAGTGAACCCTGTGTACTCTTTCCCAGCCTCAAGAGTCAGTGTTTTGCCTGGCTTGTTTCATCTGCCCCCTGTATTTTTTAATCTTTGTGTATTTTATAATGTATCTCCTATGTCGTTTTATCCATATCAGTGTATATCGGCTGTGCCTAACAGATAAGGACTTTTGTGACACATATTATCAGACTTAGCAAGATTAATGGTTATTCCTCAATATCGTCTGTGACCCAGACCGTGGTCATAGTGCCCATAACAACCATGGAAACTTAATATTTGTAAGTGACACTATGATATGCAAAATAAATGATTCAGACTGTGTTAAACCTTTAATTTAGTATAAAGAATCAGATTGGTAAATGGTGAATTAAGAATATATTCTAAAATTTCCCATTCTTTATTAAGGTCCTGGATGCCTCGTCCCTTAGTTTCAACACCAGATTGAAATGGTTTGCCATCTGCTTCGTATGTGGCATTTTGTTTTCTATTCTTGTGAGTTAAGGCTTTACCTTGTTTAATAATTTTTATTTTGTGTTGTATTAGACAAATAATTCCATTTAGTACCAAAAAGGAATGTACCTTACTAAATCCCTGTTAGACTGTTTTGATGGAACATATTTATTGAACTGAATTAAAGGGGTAGAGATCAATGAAAATATGTGGAAATTAATATTTTGGGGAGTTTTGTGGATTGTTGAAATAATTTAAGAAAAATTTATCAATGTGTTAAAAGATCTGGTGAGTCAGTAATTATTTAGATGTTTATTACTTTTCATGCTTGCCATTTAACATGAATATTTAACTTAAATGGAGTGAGATTTACTGGTAAACACAGAGTTTTATTATGGCTCATTTATATATGCTAGTGCAAATAGGAAGAAGATTCAAGTTAGTGTTTGACATTGAAAATTCACTTGTTCTGTGTGATCAGACTAGAGTATCTACAAGTGGATTTGCATTTAAACATTATATTATTCCATTGAAATCGTATTACTTGCAGTAGTACATTTATATTTTAACCATTAAAATCATAAAAGCATTTTTAAATAACGATGGTGTCTTAGGGAACTGGATTGCTGTGGCTTCCGGGCGGCATAAAGCTGTTTGCACTGTTTTACACCCTCGGCAATCTTGCTGCATTAGCCAGGTACGTACGCAAGTTTGCTTCTCAAAATACCTTGTTTGCTCTTGCTACCAAATGTGCCTTTCTAATAAGCACTTTCCTAGCAGGATATTTCTGTAACTCTTACGTATTGTGAATTCAGCCACCAGATTTACATTCATTAGATAAATATGTATTGATTGCTGCTCTATGCCGTCTCCCATAACAGACGGTATTAGTGCTAGGAATAGCCAGCGTTTTTGGGGCGCTTGCTGTGTGTCTGGGACTGTTGTAAGTGTTTTATATGTATTATGACAAGCTTATGAGGTAAGTAGTATTATCATCCCCATTTATAGCTGGAGATAAGAGCACAGAGCAGGGGAGTCAGAGCTGCCCGTGGCGATGAACCTAATACATGGGTGAGGCAGGAATCCTGCAGACAGTGGGCTTCAGAGCCCAGACTGGTAGCTGCTGCGCTCTAGGTCTTGCTCTTGTGGAGCTTCCATTTTAATGAAGAGGATGTTCACATAATCCAGGAAAAGATCGGCCGGCATTGGTGCTGTGCAGAGAATTAACATAGGGTGTGGCGGCAGTGACTGAGGGCTCATTTAGACGGGGAGGATGGGAGGCCTTTGAGAATCTTTGATACATCTTTGGGTTGTTAATTGTCTTGGTCCCTTTTGTGCTGCAGTAACAGAATACTGTAGACTGGGTAACTTAGAAGTTTGTCTCAGAGTTGCAGGCCTGAAGTCCAAGGTTAAGGCACTGGCTGGCTGGATTTCCTGCTGATGGATGCATCGCACAAGGGGAAGATCCGGTGTGCTCCCAGGAGGAAAGAGGAAAGAGCAGCCTCCAGGCAGCCTCTCCTCTAAGAGCCTTTGATCCCTTTCAGAGGGAGGGGTTCTCACAGCCACGTCCATCCGTCCTTCATCCCATAGCATGTCTATTGGAATAGTTGTGAAGTTTGTTTATAAGTTAAGGAAAAAATAAAACAGATTTCGTGAGAGATATTAATTAAATAAGGCAACAGGGTTTCTTTTTCTAAAAAGGGGCTTATTTTTGCATAGCCAGTTAAATCAGTGGACCTGTACCTCAGTTGCCTTTATTTGTTTCTAATAGTACATGCTTCTTAATGGGGCCTGTGAAGCAACTGAAGAAAATGTTTGAAACAACAAGATTGCTTGCAACCGTTATTATGCTCGTAAGTAAATAATGATTAATTTTTAAAACCTTTCCTGAAGTAGTCTTTGCACTGTTATTTTATGAATAATTACCTGTTCTTCTGTATGTGTACTTCTTGTGTTGAATATGATAATTATATCCTCTGGGCTGTGTGATCATAGAGTTCAGATGGTACAGTTTTGTCTGAGACTGCTGGCTGGGTAAAGTCTGTTTCTGTCGCGTCTGTGGAACGGGGTAGCTGTGTCTTTAAATGAACGCTAGAGCTCGGTGTGCTTTCACTTTTAAGCCCTGCCGATGGCTTCATAAGGGGGCTTATTGTTTGTACCCTTCGGAGGGTGGGTATAGACAGATTACTTCAGTTTCCATATGAATATTCCTAGGGAGAATTAGCGCTATTTGTCATCTGGCTTTTGTCCTTTCCCTGTGTGCCTTCTCGACAAATTCTAACAACATGGCTCCCATAACAGTATCTCTAAATGTGCCCTTCATTGCACTGTGGGTTCTGTCCACGCACTCAGGTCATCGCTCTTATCTTGAGCCTGGGTGGCAGGTAGATGAGAGTTTACACTTCGGTTAGAAGGGTTGTTTCCATTCTCATACATGCTGGGTGTTCAGCTGATCATCGTTTTGTGTATAGTGGGCAGGAAGGGGACCCAAATCCCCTCTGCATCCTGTCTCTGCCTCCTGCCTCTGCCTCCTAACCTATCTGGTCTCTGTCTCTTGTGGATTTCTTTTGCCTTCAAGCATTTATGATGCTTAAAGAATTTATCACCATTGTAACTATTAACATTAGCTTTCCAAACACAGCTAAACTATGTTAATTTATAAGGAAATGTTTGTTAACTCTAATCTGCCTGGCAGTCTTCTCCCATCTCCTCATTAGAGGAAAAACTCATTTTTAGCTTTATTTTTTATGTCTTGATTCAAGTTCATATTTTCTTACAACGTTTATCTTCAATTTTGAATTTTCTATAATAGTGTATGTATCAATGTATATATGTAAACATGTAACTTTACCTAGATTACTAAGAAATTATCGTTCACTGTTAGAATATAGGTAGTTTATATTCCACTAAGATTTTAGTTAGATCAGTTTTATTTAAGAAATCCTGGCACTTATGCTTCACCCTTTTTAGTAATATACTGTACTTTACCAAAGGACACATCAAGTTGAGAGAACGTGGGAGCATTTGGACATATAAACGCCTCCCAAGGTGGCGCACTTTCCTTGGTTTGATTTGCTGCCCACTTAAGATGATGCCTAGTGATGGTGGTGAAGAGGCTCTGCCACACAGAGCCTTCCACGGGCCAGCCCCTGGCTCAAGCCCATCACGGATGCACTCCACCTTACTCATTGCAATAGCCTTTTAAAGCAGGTAAAGCTACTCATTTTAAAGAGAAGACAGGTTTAGACAAGTCCACCGACTTAACCAAGGACCCTCAGATAGCAGGCGTCAGAGCTGGACTCTCTCTAGGTCTTTCTGAGACCACACAGCCCACCTCTCGCGCTCACTCCTGCGCCTGCTTGCTTTCACGGGGATGTGGAAGGATCACCTTTCAGTTTACTTAACAGATTAAATTATTAGGTGTTTCCAGTTCTTTAAAGTAAAATAATACTTACAGACTATATCAGTAAAACCAGTCAGCTGTGTTCTTGCTTTTGTTCTATGGTATATTATCTATGCAAATGAATGCAGAATAGTTTGTGCATTTTTATTAGGCTTTCGAAAGGATCTCTAATTTATAATTTACTCTTTCTTCCCCTGTAGTTGTGTTTCATATTTACCCTGTGTGCTGCTCTTTGGGTAAGTTATATCAGCCCTACTGGCTTTAAGTTAACTGTGTCCCCTCCCCAGGTGAAGTGCCATCACACCATTATCTTAAAATAGCTCCTCTGTTTCTTTTTTTTTTAAAAAAACTCTCTAAAGATTAGGTGTTCCTGAAATTTGATGTGGTGACATCCAGCTAATGGCTAAGAGTGCCATAGATTCTGCTGTCTACAGCATAGAGGAAGTCAGTAAACACACATCTGCACATGTGTTCCCCCACCCAGACAGTGGTTAAACATGCCATAGATTCTGCTGTCTACAGCATAGAGGAAGTCAGTAAACACACATCTGCACATGTGTTCCCCCACCCAGACAGTGGTTAAACATGCCATAGATTCTGCTGTCTACAGCATAGAGGAAGTGCAGTAAACACACATCTGCACATGTGTTCCCCCACCCAGACAGTGGTTAAACATGCCATAGATTCTGCTGTCTACAGCATAGAGGAAGTCAGTAAACACACATCTGCACATGTGTTCCCCCACCCAGACAGTGGTTAAACATGCCATAGATTCTGCTGTCTACAGCATAGAGGAAGTGAGTAAACACACATCTGCACATGTGTTCCCCCACCCAGACAGTGGTTAAACATGCCATAGATTCTGCTGTCTACAGCATAGAGGAAGTGAGTAAACACACATCTGCACATGTGTTCCCCCACCCAGACAGTGGTTAAACATGCCATAGATTCTGCTGTCTACAGCATAGAGGAAGTCAGTAAACACACATCTGCACATGTGTTCCCCCACCCAGACAGTGGTTAAACATGCCATAGATTCTGCTGTCTACAGCATAGAGGAAGTGAGTAAACACACATCTGCACATGTGTTCCCCCACCCAGACAGTGGTTAAACATGCCATAGATTCTGCTGTCTACAGCATAGAGGAAGTCAGTAAACACACATCTGCACATGTGTTCCCCCACCCAGACAGTGGTTAAACATGCCATAGATTCTGCTGTCTACAGCATAGAGGAAGTCAGTAAACACACATCTGCACATGTGTTCCCCCACCCAGACAGTGGTTAAATATGCCATAGATTCTGCTGTCTACAGCATGGAGGTCCTTAATAAGCACCTATGTGCGCATGAGCTCGCGTCCTTGTGGGCTCCTTTTTCTCCTCTGACAGTGCTGTGTGGTGGGGGGCCTTTGCTCAGGGGTGTGCTCCCTCCACTGCGCTGCTGCAGGGGCAGCACTTTGTCGCTGCAGTGGTGAGGCACGTGTGCTGCTGAGTACTGAGGTGTAAAACCAATAGGAAGGTCCAGAAAACACAGATGGTAACAACAGAGACAGGAACCGAAATCGTGTGGAGAAGGTTAACAGCTCTTCATTCGCCTTTAAAGACCTACTTTTTGATCTTCCTGATTCTTCATCCTATTTCTTTACTCAACCTATTTCCCAAAAGGGTTTGAAGCAGTTCTTGAGCTATCAACAAGAAAACATCCCGTTTTAAAGAAGAAAGGATAGTGTGTGATAGATATTAGACATATTCTATGAAAAATATTCCAGTTTTATTTTGGTGATGTCAGGACATAACTCTAGTTATATGAAATTGATTTATGTGCCATTTCTTGATGAGAAGAGAATATTCTTAAACAACTTGCACATCTATAGAGCATTGATCTTTGGTTTTGGAATTGCCTGTTTACTTATAAACAATAGATTGAAGATAAGTAAAAAAGCTCCTATGGAGAATTCCTTATCAATGGAATTCTTTTACTTACTTATCTTTATCTTTCCAATCTTTAAAAAAAGATTAAAGATAAGTGAAAAAACACTGATGGATAAGGAATTCTCAAAATAGATCTTTTGAAACAACCATGGAAACAGTTTATATTATTCCAGAAGATCACAATAAAATACAATTTTCTTTCAAAGTATCACTCAAGGAGTACATGGGAATGAATAAAACAAGTAGATTTCACATGGGGTGTAGATGTCAGTGGGATTTTAAATGTTGCTTCTAGATAAGTTAACACTGACTTTAAAGACTAACCACCTTTAAAAGTTTAATGTTTTCAGCCTATGCACAATTGTTTCAGTAACATTTATTTAAAGTCATATGTTTTGCTGTATTTAAATTAATGGATATAGTTTTAGATAGGAAATGTATTTTATGGATTTTAAAGTTTCAGATCAACTGTGTCTTAAATTTATCACACTAAAATTTAATAAAGCAGATAAATGGAGCCATCATCCACATGTTTGAAAGAGAAGAATTGAGTTTGACAAAGATGTTTTTAAAACTTTGAAACTCATAATTCCTCTGTTTTTGCTGTTATTAGTGGCATAAGAAGGGACTGGCCGTATTATTCTGCATATTGCAGTTCTTGTCAATGACTTGGTAAGTCTTTCCTTACCCTAGTAAAATGTTAAAATTGCTTGAGATGGGACAGGCATTTTGTTTGGAATCTGTAAAGCCCTAGCATTCTATCTTGTGTTTCGGAGCTAGACAGGCCCTGCAGGGTCAGAGGAGGGGAGGTCTGGGATGAGTCCTGCTGGACTTGATAGCGTGGCTCAGTGGTACTGTTAGGGAGAAGTGTGGAGGTGGTTTCACCAGTGTGGGCAGGGCACTGTGCTCATATAGATACATAGTGATATGTTCTGCTTTTTTCTGATGTGAGAAAGAGAAATGATAAGAAAAGTAGGTGATAACATGTAAATCCATAAAAGTGAGACCAAATCACAGGGTGAGACCCAGGGAAGATGAGTTTACCTGCATTCTCCACTCTATTGCTGGATAATTGCAAGGTAGAATTTATCCTAATGTTGACTCTGTGGCCCTGTGGTATCTGGAGATGCCTTCTGAATTGGCCGGGATTAAATACTTGTTAAGGTACTGGTTGAGCATCCCAAATCCAAAATGCTTCAAGATCTAAAACTTTTTTTTTAGACAGTCTCACTCTGCATGATCTTAGCTCACTGCAACCTCTGCCTCCTGGGTTCAAGTGATTCTCGTGCCTCAGCCTTCCACGTAGCTGGGATTACAAGTGTGAGGCACCATGCCCAGCCCAAAATCCAAAACTTCTTGAATGCTGACGTGATGCTCAGATGTGGCTGATGCTCAACCAGTAAACTTAATGCAGATAGTCCAGAAATCCAGTATCTAACAGATTTCCAGTCCCAAGCATTTCAGGTCAGAGATGCTCTACCTGCACTGCCTTTCTGCTTCCCCACTCCACTTTCCTGAGTATCAGTCTTGCCGTGGTTCCTGCTCAGACTCCCCTCCTTGTAGCCTTTTTGTGTCTTGCACTGCAAGAGTTCATCTGCATAAAGGCCATAAATACCTGAGCGACTGATTTAGTGTGCCCTGTGGCTCCCAGGCCCTCTCGTGTTAGAGAGCGAAGGTGCTTTTCCTTTCCCTTGAGAGCAGCTCATGCTCGTTTGCTCTCTTTTGCTTCCTGGTTTTGCCATTTTACATTCCTCCTACTGGATGTTACGCAGTTTGGGATCACCTTTGGTTTGGCCCTCTTTCCACTGACAGATGAAGCATCAGTGAATGTTAAATGTAGTTCTCTGTGTATCTCAAAGTAACCACGTGATGATCTTTACTGGTTTTCATTGATATGTAAATAAACTTAAATTTAATCCTTGGTTATTTTCTCTAGTGTTTGCCTTTTATTGCCTAATCTGTACCTAATAATTGATTTATCCCTAAAGGAGACTATAATTACCAGTGTGGTACAGTTTCTGTTTTCTTCTAAGAAGCTCAAACTCAGCATGCACCAGAATCACCTGGAGAGTTTGTTAAGGTGCAGGTTGCTTGCTAAAGCAAGCTTGTGATTTAGGAGGTCTAGGGTAGGGCCTAATAATTTGCGTTTTTAACAAGTTCCCAGGTGATGCTCTCGCTGCTGGTTGGGGTCACACTTTGAGAACCTCTGTACAGTCTCTTGCTGCTGTATTTATTATAAGGTTATATGTGGCATGAAGAAAATCTCATTCTCAGACGAAGATTCAACATGCTTGAATATTTCTTGCAGGTATAGCCTGTCGTACATCCCATACGCAAGGTGAGCTTGTTTGAATTCTGTCTTGTTTCTGGCCCTTTGTCTTCACACAAATAAATGATTTAAGTAATTTTTACATAAAAATGTTGGGGGGCTGATGTTAACTTCCTAAAGGGAAATAAACACGTTTCAATGAGATGAAGAGAAGCTTGCCATGATAGTGTCTGTGTGGAAATATTTTGGCGACATGGAGCAGCTCTGTGGGAGTGTCCTCCCCTCCCACCCTACTGCCTGGCATGCAGTAGGGAATGTGGATGAGATTCTGGAGTCTTCCGTGGCTTTAAGAGTTCAGAAATAGGATGCAGAGACTCCAGGAAAACAAATTCTACTTTAAAAAAAGGAAGTTATGGCTGGGCACAGTGGCTCACACCTGTACTTTTAGCACTTTGGGAGGCCGAGGCAAGCAGATCATTTGAGGTCAGGAGTTTGAGACCAGCCTGGCCACATGGCAAAACCCTGTCTCTACTAAAAATACAAAATTAGCCGAGTGTGGTGGCAGACACCTGGAATCCCAGCTACTTGGGAGGCTGAGGTGGGAGAATCACTTGAACTGGGGAGGCAGAGGTTACAGTGAGCCAAGATCACGCCATTGCACTCCAGCCTGGGTGACAGACCAAGACTCTGTCTCGGGAAAAAAAAAAAGGGAAGTTACTGGGAAAATGAGGTTTATACATAATGCTTGTTTTTAGCCAGCAGAAACATTTTAGTTATATGTCAAGAGGTAACTGGCATTTTAAAATATTTTTCCAGAGAAATGTATTTATTTAATCATGGAAGAGAAAGCAAAACTAGTTCCAATCTTAAATCTGATAGATTTAGAAAAAGATTCTGGAGAGAATCAGAGGCAGGATATCTCAGAGGCCCAGATACCTGCATTTTAACAAAACCTCAGATGCATTCCAAAGATTGAGAGATTAAATTAGAGTTTCTCACCTTTGACATAGATATGAATTATCTGGGCTCTTATTAAAATAGAGATTCTAATTTGGAAGCCTTCTGGTGGAGACTGAGATTGCAGTTCTCACAAGTTCCAGGTGAAGGCGATGCTGTAGTTCTGGGTATACAAAGAATGGAGCATCTTCAGGGTCTTCTCTTGCTCCAAACAGTGTTGAATAAAGAAGAAGGAAGAGAAACTTTGCTTAGAAAGTTGCTTGGAATTAGGCAAGGCAAGGAAAAGCTGCCCAAAGGAATTGCTGGGGGACCCAAGGGAAGAGGAACAAGTCAGCAGAGGTCTCGGGAAGCAACGGGAATTCTGGTGGTCTCAGCCATACCAGCCTCACACCTGCCTCAGATCAGCCCTGTGAGATGACATGAAGGTTGACAAGAAATGTGTGGAAGCAGACAAGGAAGAATCTGTTGGCTATGGTCAGAAGTTCTTTATAGCTGGCTTCCGCTGCGACATGTGCCTTTGTCGCAGGAAATCTCACCTCAGCCCCCTGCAATGGCAGCTGCTACAGTGCAGTGGGTGCCCCTTACGAGGAGCTGGTGAAGTACCAGCGACGCCCTTCAGACAAGTACCGCCTCACAGTGCTCGTGGGACGCTCTGGTGTTGGAGTAAACGAGCTCAGAAGACAACTTACTGAATTTAATCCCAGCCATTTTCAAAGTCCTGTGCCACACACTAGTACTGAAAAGAGTTATGAAATGATGGGCGTAAGTATCACTATGTGTCCAAGGAAACATTTGAAAGCCTCATATTTAGTTACAGGATGCTGGAGCATGGTGAGTACGAAGGCCACCTGTATGGCACTAGTGTGGATGCCGTTCAGACAGTTCTTGACGAAGGAAAAGTCTGTGTCATGGACTTAGAGCCCCAGGATGTTCAAGTGGCTCAAACCCATGAACTGAAGCCCTATGTCGTATTTATAAAGCCTAATATGAGGTGTATGAAACAATCTCAGAAAAATGCCAAGATTATTACTGACTACTTTGTGGATGTGAAGTTCTAGGATGAAGACCTACAAGAGATGGAAAATTTAGCCCAAAGAATGGAAACTGAGTTTGGTCCATTTTGTGATCGTGTGATGGTGAATGACAGCTTGCAAGATGCATGTGCCCAGTTGTTGTCTGCCATACAGAAGGCTCAGGAGGAGCCTCAGTGGGTACCAGCAACATGAATTTCCTCAGATACTGAGTCTTGATGAGACGTCTCGCTGAATGCCGGAGTTTTAACACTGTGCCCTTGTCACAGCCATCTACAGCTGCAATCTGAAACAGCAGCATTTGACCCATTATAATGTGTACAACTTTAAAAGTGCAGCAGTTTATTAATCTTATTTGAAAAAAATTTATTGTACGGTTATGTCGTTACCTATTTGGCTGTTAATTTTTTTTCCTTTAACTCACATGAAGCTGTGGTAGAAATACTAATAATGTTAAGACACTGAGTATGAGACTTTTGCAGATTTCACATGATCTTTTAAGATTCAAATAAAGAGCTTTCCTAAATAAAAAAGGAAAAGAAAAAGATTCTGGCGAGGCACAGCTTTGCCTCTTTGTGAAATTCAAAGCTATGTTCTATATTTAAAAACAGCAAAATTTTCTGCTTAATATGCACAATGAAGGAAATTGGTAGACATTTTATTTTTATTCCATTTTAAATGTATGATTCTTTCTGCTAGATACTTACAAAGAGAAAAAGCAAAACCCAGTCAGCTGCAGGTGACAAAGCTGCTTAATTAGCCAGGGTAATTGACCATGCACGGGAGCGTTAGCAAGGAGACCTCCAGTACTTCTTGATGCCAAGGAAAGATGCTCTGGACGTGATGTCCCATACAGGATGCTCTGCGAGATGGCAGGACTTGGAGAAAATGACCAGCCTCTCCAGACACTGAGGATCCTGCGCTGGAGAGCAATAAGCAATGTATAGAATTTGCCTATAAGTCTCAGATGTTATTAGTGGATATTTTTAATGGCCTACATAAAAGCTTTTTTAATGAATGAAAGTATCAAGAAATAACAGTTTTGGAAGAAAATGTGAAAGGTCAGAATTTAATCTTTTTAAAATTCTGAGGGTTCAGTTATAAACATTACACTTTGTTTTGTTTTGTTTTTGAGACGGAGTCTTGCCCTGTTGCCCAGGCTGGAGTGCAATGGTGTGATCTTGGCTCACCGCAACCTCCACCTCCCAGATTCAAGTGATTCTCCTGCCTCAACCTCCCAAGTAGCTGGGTGGGATTACAGGTGCCCGCCACCATGCCCAGCTTTTTTTTTTATTTTTAGTAGAGACAGGGGTTTCACCATGTTGGCCAGGCTGGTCTTGAATTCCTGACCTCAAGTGATCCACCTGCCTTACAGGCATGAACCATCTCACCTGTCCTAGTTTTTTAAAAAGAAAATTAAATCATCAGGCCAGGTGCGGTGGCTCATGCCTGTAATCCCAGCTACTTAGAGGGCTGGGGCAGGTGGGTGGCTTGAGCCCAGGAGTTCGAGACCAGCCTAGGCATCATAGCAAGACCCTATCTCTACCGGGAAAAAAAAAAAAAAAATTAGCTTGGCATGGTGGCATGCCCTATAGTCTCAGTTCCTTGGGAGGCTGAGGTGGGAGGATCCGTTCACACCTTCACGCCGCTGCACTTAAGCCTGGAAGACAGAGCAAGAGCCTGTCTCAGGAAAAGAAAAAGATCTTTTGTGAGGTTCGTTTTGGGATTTAAACTTATTTCTTTGTATCAAGATCAGTGTATGCGCTAGTAAAAATTTCTTAAGATAAATACCATGTCAAAAATTCACAAAACATTTTCAAGTCTCAGTTCTTAGTTTTAAGTGATACTGAACAAAGTTTTTGTTAATCTAAATATGGGAGAGTCCATTGAGCCCAGTGACTCAGCAGCCACGTTTTTTGCAGCTTTGCTCTTGAGGAATATTATACTGTGTTCCCCTCTTTTTTCCACCAGGGATGCAGTGATTAAATGCTGTTCTTCTGTCCTGAGTTGAAACCCGTGGGAAAGGACACTTGAACGCTGATACTCTGTGTTTGGGGAAGTGTGCTTTTCCCCGTGAAGCGCTCACCCAGAACCAGCTGAAGTGACACTTTCAGACCGTTTCGTACTGTCTCATTTTGTATACTGGCAAAAACCACAGGCTTGATTAAACTGTTCAGTGCTCATAACTTTACATTCATCATGTGTCATTAATATGCTTTTCCAGAGATAAGGAGATTTTTAATCATTGCCAATTGCAAATTATTTTTAGCCAATTTTTAAATCTTTTCAAAACAGCTTTGAAATGTGAATGTTTAAGGGTAGACCTGTGCTGCAAGATACATTCAGCTTTTTGGCTTTTAAAAAATGTCTACATTTTTAATACTTTTTTTTTTTTTAATTTTAAAGGTGAAACTCCTTATTTTAAGCTAAAAATTGCTTATTATGTGTAATAAAAATAATATATAAATCTTTACAATTTTGAAATAAACCCTCCTTGGAAAAATAACATTTTCTGAATCAAATTTATATTTTAAGTGATTCAGTAACCTTTAGTTTAGTCACTGTACAATCTTTATAGAAAAATGAGTAAGATACAGTCTCTCTCCTAAATAGTGCTGCTAAGTGCAAGTTGTAAGAGACAATGGGACTGGCAGCAGAGCCCATTCCAGGAAGCGCAGGGGAAGGAGGTGAGGCACGTTGGCTGTGAAGGTGTCAGGAGAGAGGCCAACAGACAGTAGCGGCATCAGGAAGCTACCTTCACCCCAGCTGGAGGGTCAGGGCGCTGGAGCCTTGGAGGAGAAGCAGAGAGGGAGGGGAACTAGCCAGCACCGTCCTTCTCCCGCAGGTCTCCCACTGGCTGCCCTTGTCTCCTCAGTTGCCAGGGAGCTTCAGAATGTGGCTGGCAGGGAGAGGCAGATAGGCAGATGCCAGCATGATGTGGTTGTCTGTCCAGGGTAGGGAGAGTTTAAATAAAGAGCCTCTGTCTCTCCACGGTAGGGAGCGTTAATAAAGAGCCTTCTGCAGGGTAATGGGAGCAAGCAGCACTTGCACAGTCAGCTTAGAGGAGAATTGCGGGGGGTGTTCTTGAGGGGCAGCAGGCAGATGGGCAGAGGAGAGCCAGTGCGGCACAGGGCCGGGGTGGCCGGGCTTCGTAGTTGTTCAGGTCCTTAGATGGGACTCAAGTCCATGTGTGGGGAGGGGTGGTGGGAGACGAAGCTGGCGGGGAGTCAAGGTCAGGCCTGAGGACCCTGGAAGTCAGGCACGTGCTTGGAAAAGAACGTGCAGGAAGAGTGAGCTCTGGTGAGTGGGCAGGCACTGTGCTCGTTGCTGGTGCTTAAGGAAGATGCAACAGACGTCCTTGCCCTCGAAGGCTTTACGATTATGGGGGAGACATACATGTTTCCAGTTATAGTGAGGTGTGGGGACTGTGGCCTCGGAGACGTCCACCGGACTTTCTGGGTGTATGGAGCACAACTCACCCAGCCGCAGGGGGCGTGTGGAGCACAGCTCACCCAGCCGCGGGGGGCGCGTGGAGCACGGCTCACCCAGCCGCGGGGGGCGCGTGGAACACGGCTCACCCAGCCGCGGGGGGCGCGTGGAGCACGGCTCACCCAGCAGCAGGGGGCGCGTGGAGCACGGCTCACCCAGCCGCAGGTAGGGTAACACGGAGCAGAGGGGCAGAGGAAGAGGAGGGTGACGTGGAGGGGTAGAGCGTGGCATGTGTGGAGCGTCACATAGGGAGCGGGGCTGTGGAAAACACGGAGCTGGAGTTTTAGTCTGAGTAGCGGCAGCCTGAAGAAGAATCTTATTTTAGAGAACAGGTGAGAGTGGGAGTAAGGAAAATAGAGAGAAGTTTGCAGAAAAGACAAGGAAGAAAGTCATGTGCTGAGCTCTGTCTGGGGCCTGCCTCATCTGTGGGACTGCCCACAGCCCTATGGCGTGGCCGAGTCTCCATGCCTTACAGAGGCAGCTGCTGTGTTGACTCAGCCTGTGTGGCAGGGCCAGGTGTGGCCGGCACGTGGGCTGCAGATGCTGCGACCCGGGTTGCGCTGTTGCCTCCCCACAGTCATTTGTTATATATCCGTGTTTGTCGGCCACAGAAACGTTCCCCTAGGAAACATTCTCGGAGTTGGGCATCTCCCTGAAAAATGTCTTCAGCTTTGTTTCTGCCCAGGTAGACCTAAAAATGGGAATGGCTGTTGCTTCCCCTTTGCCCTGTGTTGGTGCCAGGGTTTGGCCTGATCAAAGTAAGGGGCCCTCTAGGAGTCCATGTGAGAGAAGTGGGGGGTGAGCTTGAAAAGCCTCATATCTAGGCAGCCTGAGAGCCAGAGCAGGGACTGGTGGCACACAGGGTGAGCTCCGCCTATCTCCAAAGGGATCCCGGTCTTCCAGAACTGAGGGATAAACTGGATGCCACACTTAGAGTAATAGTTTGGAGCAATGTGGGTTCAGAAAGTACCTCTGAAGCCTGTTGCTGTATTGGAAGTGGGGAGGTCCCAGGACAGGATATGGAATAGCTTTGGGTTTACCATGGGATGGAAGGCCTGGCCTTGGGATAGAGAAGGATGTCATTCAGCCTGCCGAGGTGGTGGAGAGAGACACCTGAGTTTAGACAAGGGTGTTGGCTTGCTCAGAGCTCTCAGGCTTCCTGGATGGATAGGATGGATGCCCTAGGTCCCAGCACAGAGGTAGGCAGCAGAGCAGGCACGGCTTGGGTTCCAGAAGGCCTGGGTCGGGGCTGAAAAGGACTAAAATTGGTGAGCACAGACTCTGCACCAGGGGTGTGCCATCTGATGCTCACTGGAACTGCTATGCTTGTGTGCAGAAGAACCTGCAGTGTCAGGTGAGCACCTGGGCGAGTCGGGGTTTGACCGCAGATCCAGTGGATCTCCTGCCCGGGGAGGAGGAGAATGAAGGGCAGGCTCCTATGGTTAGGAGGACAGACGGGCTGTGTTGCATCCGCGGTGGGAATGGATGAGTGTGAGGTCTGCAGAAAGCAGCACTAGCACTGCCTTTGGGTGCAGCCTATTTAAGTGTGGAAATTTCCATTCAGTCACTGGTTAGCCCAGTAGGGGAACTCCCCCTGAGACTTGCTTCCTGCACAAGTTTTCAAGATGGAGGGCTACTGAGAGAGGTCCCGCAGCCACCAGAAGTCTTCTGTGCATCAGTCAAGTCCTTAGCGTGATCATCACATTTTCTCTTCTGTGTCTCACAGCACCCTTCCCTTCTAGCTGGTTCTGCAGCTGGCCAGCAGCACACACAGGGATTATGCCATAACTGCCCCGAGGAGTGCGACTCCTGCGTTGGCGTGTTCTGGGATTATGTGGCCAGCTACCTTACAGTTTGCATAAGAGAGCTGGTAGCCTCCTCAAGCAGAATCCATGCCAAAGGTTTACAGCTGTGGTCCACAGATAGGCTCTGGGGGTTTCATCAACCCCTGTGCCCGTACATACATACATGTTGTATTCAAAATTCAGTGTTTCTGTTTTCCATTGCTTTTTCCAGATCCTCAAGGGGCCCCCGACGAATGTGGAAATCTAGCACAAA